ATCCATAATTGCTGTTAGTATGTCTGACTGTTTGCACTAAAGGGAAACAATGCACACAGTTTCTTGAAACCACTGAGGTAGAGCCATTTTCAAGGTGGCATTATGGGAAAAGGGAAATGTTTGCCCTTTCTGTGAACTTCTCATCATATTCAGCGTTAATGAAAGAGACTTTTGTAAAATACCCCAAGCCTAATCCTTCAGGTCAATGGAATCACACCAGTACAGAATTTGGCCTCCTTGCATTTTGCTGATTTTATTTTTCTGTGCATTAATATGGAGGTCTTGTGCTTTGCTAAGCAACGTCTTTTTATTTTATTTTATTTATTTTATTTTATGTCTAGGCTCATTTACATATAACATATGTTTGCAAGCTCTCTAGATCCATCAACAAAAGATCTTTATCAATTTATCTGGCAGGATGACTGGGGATTGGGTGTTCAAGTTCAGTATGAAATATTAAATGAAATCAGCTAGCCACCAGCACTTCACCCAAAAGTGTCTCATGTTGAGGTACAGGCAGTCCCCGAGTTACGCAGATCCGACTTACGTCGGATCCGCAGTTACGAACGGGGCAGTTCCTCTCCCTGGTCTCGAGCAGACCAGGGAGAGGAAGCAAAGCGGTGGCGGAACGCGCGGCCAGCTGACAGCCCAGACGCGTCTGGTCTGTCAGCTGGCCGCGCGTTCTGCCGCTCCGCTCCGCTCCGCTCTGCTCCGCTCCGCTCCGCTCTGCTCCCCCTCCCCCTGATCTGCAGACCAGGGGGAGGGGGAGCAGAGCGGAGCACGCGGCCAGCTGACAGCCCAGATGCGTCTGGGCTGTCCGCTGCCCGCGTGTTCCGCTGCTTTGCTTCCTCTCCCTGGTCTGCTCGAGACCAGGGAGAGGAACTGCCCCGTTCGTAACTGCGGATCCGACGTAAGTCGGATCTGCGTAACTCGGGGACTGCCTGTACAGTCTAATATATTTTGGATGAGCTTATGTCACAGAGCAGAAGTCTCAAAGCAGGGAAAGCAGTGCAATGTTAACCAAACCTAACACATGTTCTAGATGACAGGCAGCAGTGGTTTGTAGTAGAAAAGTGTCCACTTAACAGCTAGAACGTCAGACTCTTTTCCATAAAGAAATGGAGTTCAATGGGCAGAAATACCGTATTCTGGTCAAAGTTGAGAGAGCTTGAGGAGGCATAGGAAGTGTTGGAGGCCTGCACAGCAGCTGCCTGGTGATGATCCATCCTATGATACAACCCCAGATTCAGCCACTGTTGAAACTGATCAGTTTCAGCAGCGGCTGAATCTGGACGCCAGTTCCGACTTACATACAGATTCAACTTAAGAACAAACCTACAGTCCCTATCTTGTACGTAACCCGGGGACTGCCTGTATACCAACTCAGGTGGACCTGAAAAAGAATACTAACCAAAAGCAATAAGCATACCTGTCTAATAAAGGTTAGATTTGACTGTTGAAACTGATCAGTTTCAGCAGCGGCTGAATCTGGACGCCAGTTCCGACTTACATACAGATTCAACTTAAGAACAAACCTACAGTCCCTATCTTGTACGTAACCCGGGGACTGCCTGTATACCAACTCAGGTGGACCTGAAAAAGAATACTAACCAAAAGCAATAAGCATACCTGTCTAATAAAGGTTAGATTTGTTAGAACCTGGGAAGAGAAAAAGAATGCTTTTTCTAACTATCGAGGTGATAGGTACCTTATTTCATAGATCAGATCAAAGATTTTGAAACAGAGGTGCAAGCCCCCCTTGCTGTGGCATAGAATGTATTTAGACTGGAGTGGAGGGAGAGGAGAAGCTTTAGAGAAAAAAAATCTTACTGCACACATTTTACCTACAGGAATGGATAACTAGCAAAGCTGATTCCTCCAGATATCTCAAGTCCTTAGATAGCTTTGTGCATTTTACTCTAGATGGTGCTATGCATTTTGACAGATTTCTGTTACGCTTGCATAGTATTATACAGTGTCATTGCCCTCTGTATATTAATCCATTTGCTACGTCACAGTATACACATTTCATTGTAAGTATCAACCACAATCACAGTTTTATTTTTGTTCTTATTACAATGGATGGCTATGTTTGAATCACTGCATTTCTATTTGTGATATTTAGTGACACTAACATATTGATCAACATTTGTATTTGCAAGGCAAGGCTGGGGTGTAAACTACTACAGACACAGATAAGGGGAACACGATCAAACAAGTTAGAAAACCACTGGGTTAGATTATAAGAAAACCCTGGGGTTTGGGAACAGAATAACAAATTTATTATCAGTTTCACAGCATCCAAGAGAGAGGCCACAGGGAGATGTTATGCCTCAAGTGGAAATAAACATCAAAGGCAGATGATATTATATTTAGAGATATCAGAATCATTTTTAAATCTAAAAGACGTTCTGAGTTCAAATAGTAAGCAAGAATTACAAGGCAAGGCCATTAGTGCCCTCCATGGGAATTGTGCCCAATATAGTTATCCAATATTCAGCAAAAACATTCACATTTTGATATGGCACTGCATTTGAATGTTTTCAACTTCTTTGAGCCACCCTTAAAAAGTGTCCTCATGCTCTGATTCATCTGTGCCACTCTCCTCAATTTGTTTGTGATTTGCCCAGTGCCTTAAAAGCTGATTGGTGTCCATTCCTTTCAAATGTTGGCTCTTGGAATGACAGTATGGTTTCTCTCACATTTTATAGCCTCTCTCTCATGATTCTTTGTTCAGCAATATCAGGCATTATCCTGCAGGTTTATACAAACAAAATTACAGTCCAAACATGTTCCATTAGGTCTGGATTCAGCAAAACACTTGAATAGATCCTTAACTTTAAGCACCTGCATAAGTCCCCCTGGAATCAATACAACAAAATTCTGTGCTTTGCTGCATAGAGATGCATGTGTTTAAGGGCTTCTCTGATCTGCATCAAGGTCTGGGGATTCTATGCGTTTCTCTTCATAATATTTTGTAAGATCCAACTTAACCTTTTAAGCCACTTACAAGTAAAATCTGTATCCTTCACCAGTTCTGTTTACTTTCTTCCTATTTTGCCTAGCACCTTTGGTCGGGAATAGATTAATTTAGGTTCAAAACACTGGACCTGATTGGTATTGCTACCAGATCAGCATTTTACACTTACTTTGCATAGGAGAAAATAACTGTCATGTGCAGTCCAGAAGAGAATCACAGATTTGTAGATTTATAAGGGCAAGAGTCTATTGCATTCATCAAGTCTGAACTCCTGCATAGTGTTGGGCATAGTGTTCACTCTGTTAGGGTATGTCTAGACTACATGGCTCCGTCGGCAGAGCCATATAGATGAGTTTACTAGACATAGCAAAATGAAGCGGCGATTTAAATAATCACCGCTTCATTTACATCAAAATGGCCACCGTGCTGTGCCGATGATCAGCTGATCGGCACAGCGGGGCAGTCTAGACGCACCGTGGTCAACAAGGGAAGCCTTTGTCAACCGCTCCAGAATGCCTTGTGAAACGAGGTTTACCGGAGCGGTTGACAAAAGCTTCCCTTGTCGACCGCGGCTCATTTAGACTGCCCCGCTGTGCCGATCAGCTGATCATCAGCACAGCGCACTGGCCATTTTGATGTAAATTAAGCAGCGATTATTTAAATCGCTGCTTCATTTTGCTATATCTAGTAAACTCACCTACATGGCTTCGTCGACTGAGCCATGTACTCTAGACATACCCTTAATGCCTTCTTTTAGCCCAGTAATGTGTGGTTAAGCTAGAGCATATTTTTAAAAATATTTCCAGTCTTTTAAGATTCCAAATATTGGCGAATTTGGCAATTTGCATCAATGACCCTCATTATTAAAAATATGCACATTTATTCACCTGAACTTTGCTAACTTCGACGTTCAGCCATTTGATCTTGTTATGCCTTTATCTGCAGGATTAAAGAGTCATCCATATCAGATATCTCCATATATAGGTGTTTAGAAATCATAGCATAGTCCTCAAGGTAGCAGAGAGAGCTCTTGGCTAGAGAGACACACACTAAGATTTGTTTTGCTGTCCAATATCCCTCCTCTGGGTTCCTCACCTAATAGCTGTCTCAGAAAACAACCAGTAATTCATCACTGATTTTCTTCCATTGACTAATTATAAACTCTTGATGGAAAATGGATTGTTACTGGACATATGATATACAGTTTTGTAAAGAAAAGGATATTCAGCATATAGTTCCCATGTCTCAAACTAAAAGCAGGTCCACACTATGGAGGGAAGGTTAGCTTTGGTACACAATTCCAGCTACATAAGTAACATAGCTGAACTTGACATACCTTAAACTGAGCTAGGGTACTATCCTCACTGTGGGAGGTTGCTGGGAGACACACTCCTGTTGACTTCCCTTACTCCTTATGACAAAGAAGAGTACCGGCACCAAAAGGGATGCCCTCAACATTCGACTTAGCGTTTCCCCACTAGACCTACTAAATTGAACACTGGACGATCAATCGCTGCAGCACGATTATTAGGTGCAGTTATTAGGTCAGCATTGATCTCTCTGGAAAAGTAGACAAGTCCTAAATCTTGATTTAAAATAACTACCAGGAACGATGGAACTTTTGAGAAACAAAATCTTGCTTTTGTGAAGTGAAACAATGGAGAATGAAGTGTGAGAACAATAGACAACATCCACTATATAAGCAGAATGTTTGTCAAAGCTTTCTATGATGGATCAACCTAATATGAACAATGACTTGTTTTCTGTGTTATTTCTCCTGCCTAACCAATTGCTGTGGGATTGCATGTCATGTATCTATTAAATGTTTGAATTAATTCTTAAGAAGTTGAAATATAATCAATATATATTCTACATAGGGAATTAAAGGAAGAAAGGGTGGAAATTTCAAAAGTGCCCAGCAGTGACCTAACTGACGTCAGTGGGCAAAGTGAAGTGAGTGCTTTAGAAGATTCCATCCTAAGTGCTTGTCTTTATAACTTTTCTTCCTTTTCCTCCTCAGAGCTCTTCCTGCAATGATGCAGTGGGTCCGAACTCAGAAACCAGGAGAAAGTGGTATCAATATTATCACTGCTGATTTTGTAGAACTTGGTGACTTTATCAGCACTGTCATAAAACTCAACTATATCCTGGATGAAGGCGAAGCTGATACTACTTGATACTACTAGAATCTATTAGTTGTTCATTGAGTAGATTGAAAAAGAAAAACCAATTGTATTAGAAAAATATCTTGTAACATATAGATCTTCCTATAACACTGAATCTCTGAGGTGTTTAGGGCTGTAGTGGGTGGGCAAAGGGAAATGTTTTCATTCATTATAATACATTTCTATATTAATAAACCCTCATGTTTTTCATTTGAAGAGCAAAACAGGATTTCTTTAGGTGTCAACTAGGGAAAGCCACTTGCATATTTTCCAAAAGCACCAAATATAATTTCTGTGTCTTACTTCTAAGATTATTAATAGTGCCAAGTAATTTTCTGTATGAAGACAGGAGGGACATATAATGCCATCTATCTGCACAGAAATTCCCACCGGCATGAATGTTTTGCTGCAGACTGAGGACAGTATATGACCCTGTGACCCTAATGTTTTAATTCAGTGCACTTCATCTGTTATATGGCATAACTGATTGCATTCATTGGTGGTCATCTATTCATTGCCCTTTGGGGAATAAAATGATGATGAAGTCATGCCTGCCCTCTTGTAACATTAGCAGACAGCAAATATTCAGAATCCTATTCTGTAGCTTGTGCAGAATATGGGTCAAATCCTGATCACCTTGCTTGCTTGGGGTAGGATTGCCAAAGTGCTATGCAATTGCTGAAGTCAAAAAGTATGCAGAGTTGGCCTAACTCTAATCGCATCTAAGCCAGTGGGAATTTTACCATGGTCTTCAATAGGAGCAGAGTTAAAGCAATGCTGAACACTTTTTAAAATTCCTCCTTTGAGAAGTCCCATTTAAGGGTCTGATGCAAAGGCCCTTGAAATCAATGGGAGGCATTCCATTCATCAAGTTTGGAAAAGACCCTAAATCATCAGAATTACTTATGTAAGTAGGATGATCAGGATTTGGCCTCATCTATAGAAACATGCTTTCTGCAGGAATAAATCTATACAGAGGAAACATTGACTTGTTTAATGTGAAGGCGCAGTATCAATTTCTCTTTAAGGCAGCTATAAACACAGAACAACAGTTTTCTGCTGATGATAAAGCTGGTGCCAATTCAACAGTGAAAAATTGCTCTACTAAAGGGTGGAACAGTTCAGTGAGTAGCAAATAACATTAATCTATGGTCCTTTCATTCTTGTGCAGGTCTGCCAATGGTGGGGACAAAGGAGGCAACTGCCCTAGGACCCCGGGCCCTTTAAACCACTGCTGGAGTACCACACGGTGTGCTCTGGGCAGCCTTTAGCTCTTAATCTCCTTCCCAGTGGAGAAGAAGAACAGAACTTAGTGGCAAGGCTGTGGATAAAAAATTGCTTTAACCGTCATCAGGGAGGGAATTGAGTAACATGTTCAGTTTGCTGATGGTATAGTCTAGGGCTACTTGGGGAGGCAGGGGCACTGTCCAGAGTGCTCCAGGCAGCGCTGGGGGGGGGAGGGGTGCCATATTCTGGACAATGCTGAGCGCTTGGGGGAGGGGGCAGTGCTGAGGGCTGTCTGTCCCAGCTCCACCCCTTCTTCCTGAAGCCCTGCCCTTTCGGGGAGTGGATCAGCCCCTCCTTTTCCAAAGGTCCCGGCGAGGCTGTCAGCTCTGCTGTTCATGTGAAATAACAGCAGACCCTCCAGTCTCTCTACTCTTAATGAAAAATATACCACTCTACTAGGTGAAAAAGGTCATGAAGTATAAAACAAGTGAGAGCAGATTCATAGTATGGTTTCAACAACTCACAACTGGAAATTAATAGAGTTAATCATATATAGTGATGTGCAGGCATGCAAGGGAGGGAAGCAGAATATTAAATAAATTGTCTACAACTCATGTGGACTCCAAAGCAGAATGAGGAGAAATTACTCATCAAGGCATAATAGTTTAAATTTGAAAGGGTGAGGGTTAGGGTTACTTCCTTAATATCAAAGTCTCCTTAATATCAATGGAAGTTGCTTGAGTAAAGATGACGGTTGGTTTTATTTGGCCCTTACTAATTTCCCTTAAGTGATAAAGCATGACGACTAGAAACTGCAAATGCAACATTCTGAGGTTACACAAATGAAAATGGCATCACCAGAAAGGGATATTTTTTCATTAACAAAGTAGTGAAATAAAAGGTATACTCACTGCTATTTTATATTTGATGAAGTGCCAGTGTATGTCTATGTATGTGTGCAGTAAAGGCATATATATATGCTCTATGTACACAACAAAGAGACATGCGCCCACAGAACTGTGCCCTTGTTTTTAGCTGATGGTTAAAGGATGTAGAAAGTAAAATTACAACTCCTTCTTCATTAACAATTTTTATGTCAGGGCAATGAGAAGCAATTACACTGGAACTGCCAAACCAGACCAGTTTGATTTCTTTACCAACCCAAAACTTGACCAAAACATTTCCTGAGATTCAAATAAATAAATAAATAAATAAAATACAAATACTGTCTCTTCCCAGAGGAGACAGAGGAAGCTATGGTTTTCTCAAAAAGCCAGACAAAGCTCAGTAGGTTCTGATGAATGTAGTTTTCACTTCCCAGAGTCTCTCGAAGCAAAATTCAACAGATGAGAGCTACATGAGTTGAAATGCAAAAGTAAGCTTTGCCGAATCCAAGCAAACGGAAACTGCCACATTTTGCACAGTTCTCAAGGCAGTGCCTTTCCTTTAAAACAGGGTGCCCAGTGATATAAATTTACAACTTGTTTTATTATTTTTGGAGATATGGTTTAAGAAGTTATTTTCATAACTATTTTAGTGAATCAGATCACTTTTTTTCAATGTCTTCTGTCATTTTTTCAGGTATTTAAATGTGACCAAAATATTTTAACTACATATAAATATTATATGTTAAAATTTAAAATCTAAGCATTGCAAGCATCTTTAGGGTGGGCAAAGAAATAAGACTAATTTGCTCTTTATTTTGTGATTGGGTTTCTATTATAACTAAATGAGAGGCACAAGATTGATATCCTCTTGGAAACCTTGAGTCAAGCACACACAAAATGCCACAAAGGTTTTGTTTATATAAATATGTACTGAAAACAAGTGTTTTGATGTATTTAAGAAAAAAGTATATATAAATATAACATGGTGTATCTTGAGCTTATTGGCATTGTTAACATGTTTGCTTAGCATCAGTTGTATCCTATTTGTTATTTGGGTGCTGGAAAAAAAAGGCAAAGCAAAAAAGTCCTCTGCTGAGATAGGTTAATAAAGTATGATGTTTTTCCATTAGGACGTTGGAGGGAAGGAAACTTTTATATTGTTAGTTAAATGCACAAAAAAAGTTGTCAGATAAATGCCATTTTTCTTCAGCTCTTAATCTCCTTCCCAATGGAGAAGAACAGAATTTAGTGGCAAGGCTGTGGATAAACAAATTGCTTTAACTGTCGTCAAGGAGGGAATTGAGTAACATGTTCAATTTGCTGACGGTATAATCTGTGATAGACAAAAATCTTAATCCTACCATCCCAGCAGGGAGAGTTTCCATTGTTGTTCTTGTGGGATGCTTGCAAAACAAACAAACAAACAAAAAACCAGAAAGGAAGAGTGCAATATTGGGGCATGTCTACACTAGGAAATTATTTCAAAATAACTTATTTCAAAATATTAATTCCTTAAATAACTATTTTGAAATAGTGTGTGCACACTAAAGGGAAGCCTTGAAATTAGTTCAAGGCAGCCTCTCTTAATGTGAATATGCTACCTCAACTTAGAGCCCCAGGAAACACTGGGAAGTAATTACTTTCAATGGCTCTGGAGACTAGTTATTTTCAAATAGCAGCAGTGGAGCGTTCACACTACTAATATTTTGAAATAACTATTTTGAAATAGGAAAAACTTAAAAAACAACAAATAGTGTAGTAGCACCTTAAAGACAAAAAAATATATAGATGGTATCATGAGCTTTCATGGGCATAAGAAGAGGGTTGTAGCCACAAACGCTCATGATACCATCTACATGTTTTGTTAGTCTTTAAGGTGCCACTAGACTATTTGTTGTTTTTTAAGTTTTTCCTGTTACAGACTAACTCTGCTACCCCTCTGAAGTATTTTGAAATAAGCATTATTCCGTGAGGAAAAGTAGGCGTTATTATTTTGAAATAACCAGCCCGTTATTTCAAAATAACAAGCTTGGTAGTGTGGACCCTCAGCTTGTTATTTCAAAATAAGGAGAGTTATTTTGAAATAGCACTGGTCTACACTAGGGAGTTAACTGGACCATTGCAGGGCTTGTATACGCAGGTAGTCATTCCCAATTAACTCCATGTGCAGATGCTTAAATTTCAGAATGAGTGCCTTATTCCACATTAGTTTATTCCATACAGCACTCTTATTCCAGAATAAGAGCAATTATTCATGGAATTAATCAGGAAGAATTAATCTGCTTTAAATTCTAATCTTCATTTAGTCTGCATTAAGACTACATTACATGTACGGACAAGTCCTTAGAGCCCAAGCTCGCCAACTTTGTGTAAGCAAAATTGACCTGAACATTCAATTTGCCTGCATTGGAACTGCAGATTTGGGTCCTAGTACATTCCATTGTTTGACATGCCCTGCTTTGGTTTTTCTGCACATGTGCTACATGAAATCCTAAATGGGAAATAATGCCTGTAATCTATTCATAAGAGCAAAAACCCCACCAAGATACTGAGTGTCATAATTTTTCCATCTGTTGCATTTTGCATCCTTCACTGTCTTTTGGAGCGAGTAATGTTAATTTATCAACTGCCATCATATTATCTTTTGTCTCCTCTTGTACGCATGTAACCACTTGTGTCTATAGTCTAGTGTATACCTGTCAAGTAATAAGAATCTTTCAGGTGTAATGAAATGGCTACTTTATGCAAGAGGTTCAGTCAGATCTGAAAAATTACCTATTGCAACAGAGCAGCACACTCATTAAAAAGATTAAAGACAAAGGTCAGATGATCGGCTAGTATAAATCAGCATAGCTCCATTCATTTTCCTGGACCTCTCCTGGTTTACACCTCCTGAGACTTTGTCCCGTAGTGATTATGATCTGACTTACACTGATTTCACAGCAGTATATTCATTGGCTCTGATTAAAAGTTATTCCAGAGTATGTGCGATCAGAATTAGCCCAAAGGGTCCAAGTTCTGCTCTTTTTTCACCGATGAACATGGAAGCCTACTGAAGTATCAACAGTAATGAAATAATGATATTGCAACTGGTGTAGCTGCAAGCAGAATTTACCCCAGTATTTATATAATTTACACATGTATTCTGCCATTGAAAATTAACATAGTGTTGATTTCAATAAAAGTATGTACAATATGTGTGAGTTCCTCCTGACTGCAGAGTCAAATCCTGCTGTCAGAACAAATCTATTGGCTTCAGAGAAGTTACTGCAGATTTACATTGGCGTAATCAAGAGCAGAAATTGACCACTGTGTATGGTATATGGTAATAAAGGAATTAAAAATTCTGAATACTGAGAAATATCAAAAAAGAGAAGTCTACTGAGAATATATCTGAATGGACTATATGAGGATTTCAAGAGTTCAGCTATAATACCATTTTAGACAGCTTAACTCCATTTCAGTGAAGCAAAAGCTAATAGTTTATATGATGTGTTTGCCATATCTCCCTGGTAGCTTCTGTGTAATATACAGTTGTCAGCATTGTTCTGAATTGTACATTTACCCACTGACAAGGATAAAATATGCTGTAGAGTATGTAAAATGTATTGATGACCAGTTTCTTGGAGTTCAGTGAATTTTCTCTATTATTATTTGTTTATTACTGTGCTGCTGTTTTATAGGTACTGGGTGTCTGTGTGTGTGTGTGTATGCGTGTGTGTATGCGTGTGTGGAGGTTGTGTAAAATATGTTAGAAATAATAACTTATCCTAAAGGAAAAGGGCAGTCATGGTACCTGCCTTAATGCATCTACATAATTTTAAGTCCCGTAGCTCTGAGTTCAGATTTCAAAACAAGTTGTGTGGTTGTTGAATGCTTTGTCTAGAACTGGGTTGTTTTACTTTTTAGAGGGAGTTAAATTTGAACTTATTTTGAATTCATTTAAAAATTGATATATAAGGAATAGCAGATTCTTGTGATCAAATTAATTGTACACAAGTATCCAGCCCCAGTGTGACATGGGCTAGACCATTCTCTCAGCTACACACTCGCAGTTTCTATTTATGTCAATGGGAACTGTGCACCTGCAATGGAGAGTATGTCATTTGCTCCCTATAGGAGCGTAACTATGACACAAAGGGCAACATTTTCCAGAGCACTTCAGCGGTGTGAAGAAATACCGGGGTGCTGGATAATACTGAGAATGTCCTCTGGTGGAATATGACTGTGAGCTCACAGTTCAGAACCTGTCCTGAGGGTCCAGGTACTTTCCCCACATTGAAGACAGAGAGGTTAGGGACAAGGAGGTGCCCACACCAGTCCTATCCATTGACAGCATTCTGCTATCTTGAGAGAGTATTGCTTTCACTAAGAACTGGATGTATGACAAACAGGCCAAAACTGAAGGGCTTTATGCTCTAGGAAAGAAGGGTAGTGTCTGTACCTCTCTTCTACACAAAAATATGATGAATGAACCAAGTTTGTAGCCTCAACAATCACAGTTCCCCATTTCTATTGCTGCCTGCAGCACTTCTACTTCCTATCAGGGTGACTCTGCCCTCAATACCCAATATGTGACACAAGACAGGTCCAACTCCTAATCTGCCCAGCCAGCCAGCTTTGTACCAGCTGGCTCAATCAGATGATGCATAGTTATCATATGGATATATAGCGGTTGGCTTCAGATTCAGACCTGCTTAAGCAGCAGATAATAGGTTTGGGGAGTTGTGGTGAAATCAGGTGAGACTCCACCATGCTGGTTGGCAAGAAACAGAAGCCGTTCTTAATTTGTGCCAGTGCTCAGCACCTCAGGGCTTGCTGCCTCATTTATGAAAGAAAAAAAAAGAGAGGTATCACCTATTTCACTACAAATTAAGGACTGAGAGAAGTGCTGCATACCTAATTTTAGTACCTTCTGTAACCTCTCTAACTTCTGTCCATCTTCTCTCTCTCCCCTTCAGTGTGCACTAATAGGCCTTACTTCACTCTCCACTTCAGCTCCCTCCCAACATCACCAACAGAGATGAACAAACTCACATCCATGCTGGATATGGAAAGGTGGCTGGTTTCAATGCACAACTTCCCGCTTGGGTCAAGAACTTCCATGAGGGGAAACAGGGATAGGAGAAGCCATAAAGAGCCCTATGTCTCCTGTCAGACAGATTTCCCATACCTCCACCACCGAGCCCCATGAATACCCACATGCTTGACCTGTTAGGTACACCCCTCTTTGGCTGGAGATAATTTAGCCCTAAATTTTGTAACTCCACATTTAAAACTGAAATGAAAAAGTACCTAGTATGCATATATGTGGGAGCAATTCTATATGGGCAGTGAGATGGACAATCCTGCAGTTGAAGCCATACGGGCAAACATTTTCACTCATTCTAGCCCCACTAAAGTCAATTGGAGCTGCAATGATATCCTGTATTATACCTTAATAAATCTGTTTTCATTAGTGTTACACCACCTGGGAAGCTGGCATACATAAAACACAATGCACTAGTTTTAACTGTAGTTATAATTGGGGAAAAACATATTTAAAGATAAACCCACGGCAGGTGTTGGGTTATTGACTGCCTCAGTGGTGAGTAGTTTTAGAAGCGTGCAAGGTAATTATTCTGACAATAGTACCGTACTGCCTCTGACACTATTAAAATTCTCTTTTAAGAACCCTTAGTATCGAATTGATTGCTAATGCATTGGAATATGCATTAATCCCATTTTGTGAGATGTGTGGGTGTCACATTGGTGACAGCTCAATTGTGCATTGTGCACCAGAGGTTCACAGGACTGTACCTTCTCTTTTTAGGATCTAGTCCATAGTACTTTAATAAATGTTGTGTACAAAAAAAATGCCTATAGTTCTGTATAGCAAATGTGATTTTTTTATGACACAATGTGTATTTAATGTAAAAAGCATAAAACCCAGTTTCTTTGTATTCAGTGAAATGTCTAATAAAGCCCTGGTACCCGTATTTTTATGCTGTGTTTTCATCATTCCAGTTCACAAGTTCAGTGTCTAAAGACGCGATACAGAATTGCCAAAAAGAACTGATCAAAGACATCATACAGTTCATCAGCTCACTTCTGTGAAATGGGTTAGAGCCCATGCTGGCTTCTCTGAGTGTATGAACCTGCTTGTTCTCCCTCATATGCTCTGGGAGTAGGGGAAACCACTAGAGCCCCTCCCCCGTAACTTGGGACTGTGCACCACTGTCCACCCTATCTTGCATTGTCTGCCACACCAACATCAGCACAGCAAAAGGCTGCATATCCAGAAGGGAAGCTGGAGCCTCTTGTCAAAGCCAAGCTGCAGCAGCTTATAGGGAAAGCCTCGTATCTCCAGCCAAACAAAGTTTCTAGTGAGTTATTCTGCGCATCTCAAATGCATTAAATGGAGCATCACTGCTGGAACTAAGAGGACAAATGGGCTCCACAGTGATGGAATATAACAAGAAGCTAGGTTTTCCTC